GACCCCTCAGCAGCTCACAAAGCATCAACCACCTCCTAGCCCCCCTCAGACCGGATCCAAAAGGAAGGGGCTCTAGTGGCACTGCGGGTCAAGCACTGGACTGCTCACAGGGCCAGGTCGGCGGTTCAAACCCACCAGCTGCTCCACAGGAGAAAGATGAGGCTGTCTGCTCCTGTGAAAATGTGGAGTCTCGACACACGAGGGGGCAGTTCTGCTCAGAGTGAGAAGCTACTGGGCGGCAGCAGGCAGGTGTTTTGATGTTTAATGAGCACCTACTATGTACACTGGTCTCTGGTGGAATCCCTTCCCTTCAGGAGGCCCAGGCTCCTGCCCTAACCAATGCACCCTCTTGCCCAGCCACCACCCACCTGCCAGTGGAGACATCAGATGTGCTTCCAGTCTAAGACGAGGAAGAAAGACCAGGCTATACAGCCAGTAATCGGCCAGTGGAAACCATATGGCTCAAGGCCCATTGCAGGCCTTAGGTGACACATTTGGTTTTGGCCACTTACCCTGAGGAGGGCTCTAATGGGTATGTTGCAAAAGATGTGTATCTTGTAGCAGAAAAAAAAAGTCAAAAGTTGAAGGGATTATTGTCATGGAGGAAATTAAGCAGTTTTGTATCTGAGAATCACCTTCCTGGCTTTCTTTTTGCTCCACTAACTGCATGTGGTCTAGCTCCTCCAGGTCCCACCAGCTTGCACCCTGACTACTTAGATAACTTGTTTAATGAATTAAAAAAAAAAAAAAAACCACCTCTGGATCACCCCAGTCTGTTCCAGGACCCGTCATGGGGTGGCACAGTCAAGGGCAGCGTGACATCCTGTCCTGGGTGGCAGTCACCAAGGTCAGCTCTGTGCCAGGCTCTGTGCTGCGTCTGTCTGGTCTCTCCAGCTCCTCACCCCAACCCTGAGAGGTACGTGCGTAAACTGAGGTGCAGAAGGGTGACAGAGTTTGTCCAAGGGCAGAGAGCGGCACAGACCAAGACTGTCACAATGCACTGTTCACAGCAGGCCCTGGCCGGCCCTCTAGTTTCCTTCCCCAGGCTCCTGAGTGACAGCAACTAGCCAGGCCTTCCCCCACCCTAGCCGCCTCCCCCAGGGGACTTGTGGCTGTGCAGGTGCAGGCCTGACATGCACCCTGGCTGGGGCTGCCCCACTCCTGGCAGTCGGAGGTTGTAAGCGGGGGGCCAGTGGAGCTCATCTCCTGGGGGGATAGTCAGGAAGTGGGGCGGGGCTTGGGGTCAGGCTGAGGGGGGATCTGGTACCCGGGACCGCGGACACCAGACTAACCCACCACCACTACCACCACGGGGCGAAAATGTCCGGGGCTGCAGGGGTCCTCCGAGCTCTGCCAGCCACCGTCTCCTTCCTCATCCTGCTCTGGGCAGCTGGCCTGGGTATGTGGTCCAGGGAGGGTCTCGGGAGGCTGAGAAGAGGGGCAGAGGGGACCGGGGAGGAGGGAAAGAGCCCCAGAGGGAGTGGGGAACTGAGGAAGGCCCCCTCCGTCAGCCTGGCTGCCAGGGGTCCTGGTAGCGTGGTGGTTAGCGCATCCACTGCTAACTGAAAGGTTTCCACTGGATCCCACCAGCCGCTCCACAGGAGAAAGATGTGGCTGGCTGTATGTCTGCTCCCACAAAGGTGGCAGGCAGCCTCCCTCTGAAGCCCCTGGGGCAGTTAGTCCTCGCCTAGTTTCTGGGGTCACTCAGAGTCAAGTCGGAGCCACCTTCCTGGCAGTGGATTGGGTTATGGCAGGCTGGGTTGGGGCTCAGGAAAGCCTGATAGGGCCTCAGTGAACTTGAAGGAGGGGGAGCTGCCCTCCCCACCCCCTTGTCTCCATGAGGCAAAATAAGGAAGTACAGGGCCAGCTGAGAAGGGGGCAGGAAGGAGGGGCTGAGGGGCAGAAAATGCTCTTGTACCCAGAACCCCAACCTCTCCTCTGTGTGTCTGGCCGAGTGGGGGTGGGGGCTCACCGATGATCCCCCCAATGGACAGGGACTGGAGCCTTTGACATGGAGCTCTGAGAGGAAGGTCATGCTTGGAGGCCACAGTGACTGTGACTGACCACCGTGCTCATGAGGCGGGCAGGCTGACCCCACCCCTTCCTCCTTTCTTCCCCACCTCCTGCCTCAAGAGAGTGCAGCTAGCAGGGAGGGGGACTGGCTTGTGGGGAGCTGCGGGGGGGACAGGGGTGGGGTGGGGTAGGGGGGGACTACCTGGTGAAGATTAGCTGGTATGGATTCATTGGGGAAAATTAGCTGGGGAAGACTAGCTGGTGTGGACTAGTTGGAGATTAGTTGGGGAGGACTAGTTAGGGAAGATTACCTGGGGAGGACTTGCTGGTGTAGACTAGCTGATGTGAACTAGTTGGGGAGGACTAGTTGGGGAAGATTAGCTGGTGTAGACTAGCTGGTGTGGACTAGTTGGGGATCATTTGGTAAGGACTACTTGGGGAAGATTAGCTGGTATGGGCTGGTTGGGGCGGACTGGCTGGTGTGGATTTGCTGGGGAGGACTGGCAGGGAGGACCAGCCGAGGCAACCACTCTCAGGGGCTTCCCCAGAGGCACCGTGCATGAGCCCACAGGCAGCCTGGGTTACCCTGTCTCCCTCACCCCCACTGCTCTGCTCCTCACCCTGACCCCAGGCCAGCCCAAAGGCTTGACCTTGTCCCTGACTCCCAGAGTAACAGGTATGTGTCAGAGAAAGAGGAAGGGGCCCAAGGCCATAAGGCAAGGCAGGTGCCAAAACTGGCCCAGGGAGACTCAGGCCTACGCTGTACCACAGGGACAAGGGGCCCAATAAGAGAAGCTACAGATGGCTCCTGGCACAGAGGGGTGGCCTAGGCTAGGGCCGGTGGGGAAGAGAGAGAGCCTCCAGGAGGTGATAGGACATCAGTTTTGGAAGGAGTCCAGTGGCACAGTGTCAACGGGCTGATGGCGGCTGGTAGGCACCAGCCACTGCAGGAGAAAGCTGTGGTGGTCTGTTGGCTTCTGTAAAGGTGGTTTACAGCCTTGGAAACCCAAGAAAGGAAGGGGTTCTGCTTTGTCCTCTGTCTTACAGGGTCCCTGTGAAAGGAATCGACTGGGAGGAAGGGGTTGGGTTGGGAGACTTCCAGTGCTGAAGTCCCAAAACCAGAGAGTGGGAGGAGTCAAAGCAAGGGGGTGTGGGGAGGAGGAATGAGAGATGGCACTGGAGGACCAAGTGGGACCCTCAGATGTGTCCTGTTGTCTGCCCCCCTGAGCCCCCTCCTTTCTGGTATGTCCTTACTCTCCCTCCCAGGGGTGGCTCACCTTTGTCCCCTGACCGAGCCCTCCTCTCCGCAGGTCCCAGGTGCCAGGCCCTGTGGGTGGACCGGGGCCCCCCTTCCGTGACGGTGACCATGGGGGACGAGGCCCGCCTGCTGTGCCCGCACAATGGCAGCAAAGCCAACGTCACCTGGTGGATCATCCTGCAGGGCAATGCCTCATGCCCCCCCATGTTCCTGGGCTGGGGCCAGGGCCCCAAGGGCGAGCTGACCATCCCGCAGGTGAACCGGACCCACGGGGGCATCTACCAGTGCAAGGTGGAGGACGGCTCACGTACCCAGCGCTCCTGCGGAACCTACCTTCGCGTTGTCCGTGAGTGTTCCCCCCACCTCAGGGCCCCCTGTGAAGTGAGGACCCGGCCAGGCCAGGTGTTCCCCATGGGCCCCAGGGGGCTGCCCCTCAAGATCTTTGCATCAGCTGCCCTCACTTGTAGGAGTGAACCGTGCTGGGAGGGGAGAAGGGTACGGGGGGAGGGAGGGGGCTTGAGCAGTCCCTGTCCTTACAGAGCAGCTCCCCACGCCCTTCCTGGACATGGGTGAGGGCACCAAGAACCGCATCATCACCGCTGAGGGCATTATACTGCTGTTCTGCGCTGTGGTGCCCGGCACGCTGCTGCTCTTCCGGGTGAGGCTGGGGCCCCTCGGAACTGGGGAGGATGTGGGCGCCCACTACGTAGGGGTCACGGGGTCAAGTGAGACAAGGGAATGCAAAGACTTCCGTGCTGGGTCCGAGGGGCATCCAGGCTCACTCTCCCCCAAAGCAGACACCCCTTCTCTCCCACAGGACCTCACTGCCCCCCCCAACCCCCTGGGGTGTCACACATGTCAGACTGGCCTCCTCCTAGGAGTGTACTCACGCTCCCCCCATCCAGGGATGTCCTCACTTCCTCCTCCCAGGTGTCTCTAGATTGACTGGCCCCCCACCCAGGAGTGAGCTGACACCCACATGCCAAGGCTGGGGAAGATGGGGGCCGCCGGGGGCCTCCCACAGTCCCTGACCTACCCTGCTCACAACTTACATGGAAGAGCACCTGTTCACTCACTCACTCACTCACACATTCACTTACTCACTCATTCGCTCACTCATGCATTCGCTCACTCACTCATGCATTCATTCACTCACTCATTCTCTCACTCATGCATTCACTCACTCACTCACTCACTCATTCACTCACTCATGCATTCACTC